TCTCTATCTTCATGTTTGGATGCTTTCTTGATGGAAGAACCTCTAGGGCCTGATGACATGTGGTAAGTGCTTAAAACATGTTTTAATTGGATTTCAAATGATAAGGTTGTGGATTCTCACTTTACTGTAAGCAGTATTGATGCTTTATGTCTTAAATTATTAATGCAGGTATTGTCCTCGTTGCAAGGAACATAGGCAAGCTATAAAGAAGCTAGACTTGTGGATGTTACCAGAGATTATTGTTTTTCACTTAAAACGCTTCACTTATGGCAGATACCTAAAGAACAAGATTGACACTTTTGTGAATTTCCCAATTCACAATCTTGATTTGAGCAAATATGTCATGAACAAAGATGGGCAGACTTATGTATATGAGCTATATGCTATCAGCAACCATTATGGTGGTCTAGGCGGTGGCCATTACACAGCATATGCTAAGGTAAAGTTGTAATCCGGCTGAGTAGTGTTTTGCTTATTTGAATTTATGATGCAAGTCTATTCCAGTAGCCATCTCTCACGGATATTACTTATGCACCTTACCTGTAATTTGGATATCTAACATGCTTTTTTGTTTTCCACATTTGCAGTTGATTGATGAGAATAGATGGTATCATTTTGATGATAGCCATGTTTCTCCAGTCAACGAATCGGACATCAAGACCTCAGCTGCTTATCTGTTGTTCTATAAGAGAGTTAGAAGTGAACCCAAGGTGGAGGCAGGAGAGGCATCACACAGTCATTCCAGCTCTTGAGGCCCCGATCGAGTGCATTTTACGATACTATTGCTTCTGGAGCTGCCTCCATTTGAGGTTAGTCTGGGCTCATCTCACAGTTACTGTTGTACTATGTGATGAACTGATGAATTTACTTGGCTGAGAAAGCCGTTGGGAGCCCACATGTTATAGAAGATAGGGGACCCTAGCACTGGCGTGGACATAACCAACTCACAGTGAAAGGGTGACACAACTCCAAGGTGGGGCAAATATTAGTTCAATTATTTATTAAAATTTTTTGAAAGAAATTTTGGTCAGAGTACTAGGTCTGCTTATAGTTATAGGTGCTTAATTTGTATTATGAGCAATGCGGTAGTAGCCAATCTGTTATATTACCTTTTTACAGAAGCATCTGTCACCTGACTCAGCGATTAAATTGGAAGATGATTTAATCTCTACCAAGTCATTTGACATTATTAATGTTTGGCAATGGATGTAAATGTTTTAAGATATTAGAGCAATGACATTGTTAATCCTCTCTTTGCTTTTCATTACATGAAAGGTCTTTTTTCTGTCTGGGAATTTGTCTTGTAAGGCAGAAAAGAACAAGTTATCTGGAATCTTATTCTTAGCGAACCTTTAAACTACCATCAATCATTCCTCTTACCAACTTTGAAACGAATCTTCAATAACATAATATAAAGATAAAATAATAGTATTTATTAGTAAAACAAGGACCCAACTCACTTTAAGATTGTTCATTTTTCCTTCTCTTTTCTTATGCTGAACAGGGACGGGGATCAGGTTGTTGGTTTGAGATGAATGCTGAATAGATATACCAACAAAAATTTCATAATTGTTCACTACAACAAGAAGGGAGATAAGAAAAAACAATAATGTAGCAAATTAATAATCATCATATGAACTTAGTCTAAGCTGCGGTCCCCTCTCTCTACCAAACTCTCTCAATCAACGAACCTAACACCCTGCAAGAATAAAAACACCAAAAAGTGAAAAGTTTCACACTTGAGTGCCAACTAAAAAGATCAAAAGCAACCCAAATGATGTTCAATTTCCCAGTCAGACCTTACGCCACCACCCACCGTTGCCTTTACCAACCCTAAATTAAAAAGTTGACAGAGTAGGGCTCGTTGGATATCTATTTACATGCCCTTCCTTTGTGTTTTTTTTGGGTGGGTTGGCAGTCGAGGTAAAGTTGATGGTGTAGGTGTTCCCTCTGCCACAATGTTAGCGTACAAGCAAAGAAACAGAATTTACCTTTCCCTAACAACAAAGCTGCCCCTTATTTCCCTCTCCATTGCCAAATTTTTTTAAAAGAAAGGAAAATTTTTCTCTAAATCTTTGATAAAAATGAGCTTTGAATTCGTCTCTACACCAACGTTTTAATCAATAAGAATGACGCCAGCAGCAGTACATGCCCGATGAAATGATATCTTTCCTGCTATCAACCAAAAATTGAAAAACGTAAATGTCAACGTTACGGAGTTTGTCATTATCAGTGGCAAACAGAACTAAACGAATGGTGTGAGCCTTAAATCTTATCAAGATAACGGAATATCCGCAATGAAAAGAGGAAATTAACCGTTAGAAACGTGAAAAGCTCCCAGCTTTTACCAAAACCTTACCGTTGCGGAAGAAATAGACAAATAGCCCGTGGAAGAACTGGTCGGAGAAGACGGTTGCGTCACGGCATTCCCACTGCTTCCACCGGCGGTTGTATTACTCCCAACGACGTCGTTCGTACTAATCCCGAGAGGATACGCCGGCGTTCCATCGGGCTTAAACAACCCATAATTCCTCTCTGAAGTGGGACCTGGCTTCATGTTCTCATTAAACAAGGCAAAAACATAAATATTAAGATCCGAATTCGGCCTCATCGGGGTCCCTGTTTTCTTCGACATCAATTTAATCAAATTCCCATTATATTTCTTGGCATTATCGGGTGTGGCTCCAGCCTCATCTTCATCTCCCTTTGAAGGCCACCCAGTTTCCGATATATGAACGCCCAGCTTCTTGTAACCTAACGAAGCTAAAGCAGAATAAACGGCGTCGATTTGAGCGTATAACATGTTGTCGTAATGTAAATTCGTCGCTAGATCGATGACTCCTTGGTTAGGCTGAAAAAGAACAAAATCTAACGAAACTTGCTTGGGGTTTCCCTTATAAGCAAAGTACGGATACGCATTAATCAAAAAAGGAGACCCAGTTTTTTGATGAAAACTCAAAGTTTCGCTTAAACAATCCATCAGATCTTCACGGAACGCTCCAGCTGAAGGCGGATAAGAGGTTTCGAGAATGGCCAAGGAATGTGCGGTCGTGACAGTTACTTGTTTGTCGAGTCCGAGGTTAACCAGCGCAGTGTGAACGCTTTGCATTGCCGGGAGGAGGTTGTCTGAGAGAGTAGTGTCGTTGAAAGTGAGAACCTCGTTTCCGACAAAGATGCATGTGATTTTTGTAGCGGGTAAGTGGACTTGAACGTTTTGCTTGACCCAAGCTTGAGCTTTGGCCGGATCTCGCATCTTGTCCAAGTACTCGTTGCCTAAACCAACGATGAATTCGACGCCGGTGTTTGCGAATGCGCTAAGGACTCTTGGATCTGCATCGTAGAGTTTCACTTTGGTGGCTCCAATTGATTTTACTAGTGGCACTACGCCTTCTGGGGATGGAAGATTGTTGGCTATTTGTCCATAGTTGATCCCAATTGAATTAACCATAACTGGAAACAAATAAGCTGCAATAACCAAAAAAGAAATGCAAACAAAAAATAGCAAATTAATGCATTATAATTCAATTCAAGTAAATAAAATTAGAGTGTGAGTTACCCAGTACCTGAAATTGAAAGAATAATAGAAGCATAGCAGAAGAACCTAGGGAACCCCATGAGAACAGAGCAGCAGGTAAAGTGAGTGAGCGAGTGAGTGAGTGTGTAGGGGCAAAATGGATTTTAAGTATCTTTGGTTTTTAAAGGTAAAAGCCGTCAATGGACACGCAAATTGAGACGCCAAAAGCGTTAAGCAAGACAACCAAACAAGAAATTCTTCAAGATTTTTCAGTCACTTTCTTACAAGCTTCGAGTGACAACTGTAATGAGCTAATGCGAGAGTTGATAAGAGTAGTAGAGCAATGAGTGAGCGGAGTGTTCTTCCTTTCTCACTCACGCACACAGCTGTGCCATGTCGACACGCAAGCCTCGAAAGCAATGGGAGCTTAGCTTGGCAAACGAAGAAAAGTAGAAATAAAAAGGGTTACACGTAACGACTTCCCTCTCTGTTTGGGTCTAGTTGTCAGAGTCTGCGCCGGGCTTGAATAGCTTGACGTTCATATATAGGGGGCCAGAGTCTTAGAGGCGGCGATTGTAGAGTGTTGATCAAGACTTTCACGATAGGGATTAGCTAATGATTCGTAATCAAAAGGGATAGATTATTTATGAACAGACGATGAATGCTTACTGAATGTTTATATATTATGATTGTGTTGTTGTATTTTTGGTGGGGCCCAAGGTTTGCTTCTCCGACAATCTTCACATGGGTCACCATTCACTTTTCTTTAGACCTTATTAACAAGTTCTTTTACTTAATTCGATTATATTACGATATTAGTGTCATAGTATTTAATTCAGTGCTCTACGCTTTCAGCGTGATAATAGGGAGACGACAGAGAACCAGCATCAGATACGTGGCATCCATGCAAAGCAAAGTGATTGGGTGTCGCTTTCGGTGGCTCCACCCTGAGGGGCTGATCTCAGCTGTTGATTCAATGTCTAAAAGTATAGTACTACCAGTACATGCGCACCCCATTGCTGTATCTGTACCCCTTTTTTTTGTTTTATTTTGGTTGGATTTTCCAAAAGTAATGTTAATGGCTGTTTTTCTCTCTGGGCCAGTTTGAAGCTGAATGGCCTATTCTCAATCAAAGGCCATTCGAAAATGGGTTGGGCTGCGGGGGGCAGGGGGTCATAACACACAGCATTTTCGTAATGATACTCTCCAAAATATGCTTATAGCTGTTTCCCTAGCTAGTATCATGCTTCCAATCATATGATTTTAAGTTTTCAAAGAGGTTTCTTGATTAGTATTTGGCCTTGAACGGTTTTCTTAATCGCTGGAGTAATATGTACAAAACAAACTTCTTTTTTAGTACAGATGATGTTGAGTAAACACCAAAGATAATGCTTAAGATATTGCCCGAGTGAAGGCCCTGGTTACAAACCTAACATAATGCTGGCTTCTTCGGTTTTCTCAAGCCCAAATATGATGCAATCACACATTCCAAAGGCAATTTATTTCTAGAAGTTGAAGAAGTCTTTTATTTACTTGACATAACGCATAAAGCTATGCAGAGAAATTGCTTCTGTGTTTAGTTATCGCGAACATCAACAACACCTGTTAGCTTCCTTACTATACTATATCTTTATACAAGCTCCTATCTTTTCACCTTCAAAAGTAGCATTGACTGCACCTGCAGGGGAGTTTGTTTTCCACCGCTCAAGCAAATGGCTGTCCACAGTAGATAGATACATAGTTGTATTAAAGAAAGAAGGCACTTAGTAGTTTGCGCTATGCCTTTGCTTGCTGAAGTCAATACTTGAACATTCAAACTCAATAGTCTCCATGCTCAGGGAGTGGCAACGTTTTCCTTGGAAAGAGGAGCAATCTCCTCTCCTTCAACGCCAGGTTCACTGCCAGCGACCTCTAGGCTCAACAACATCTTCTCCCACAACTTTGATGGTCCCTGCATAAATAAACAATTTTCCATTTCAATTCAATGAAATAGAGAATTAGTTAATTTGAATTCATTCTTCCTTAAGCTCTAAATTTGGTGTAACATAATCCACCAAGTGAAACTGCATGCTCAATGAGATACTGACCTTCCATGAAAGATCTTGTGCCATACAATTCTGGATCATTTCTTTCAGGGCTTGAGTGCCATATGTTGCGAGAGCTCTCTTGACACTTCTTGCCACGTTATCTACATCACTTGGATCCACTGCATCACACTGCAAAAACATCACCGTGGAGATGAATGATCTTCCCATTATATGTAGATGAGAGAAAAATGAACAAGTCATACGTTGCACTTCACACAGACAAACATTTTTTACTACTTACTTCAGTACTGAAGGCTCCCATTTGGAACCCTGTGTATCCTTCCTTGACAGTGTCAACGAGTCCACCAGTAGAGGCAACAATTGGCACCTGTAACACAGAACAGATGTAAAGTTTTATAGTTCCAGTACTATGAGAGCAAGATTAGTATAACCAGTTGCTTTTGTAAATTCATGAAGTCAAAATCAGTAGGTTGCTGAAAAGGAAATGGTCAAGAGCATTTACGGTTCCATATCGCATAGCATGCAGCTGAATGAGACCACACGGTTCAAATCTACTAGGGATCAAAATGTAATCAGCACCAGCAATAATCATATGGGCTAATGGAATATTGAATTTGGCTACTCCTCTAGCCTTGTCAGGATGCTGGATATCTAGCTGCTCAATCTGCTTCTCCATGGCCTTTTTGCCAGTTCCCTGAAATGAAAATACATCCATTATTTACTAACACTCAACTCATTGAAGCAACAGTAACAACCACAGGAAGGAAGCATTTCAAAATTTGACACTAACAAGGACTATGATCTGACAATTTTCTCCAATGAATTTTGGAATAGCTTTTGCCAAAATATCTGAACCTTTCTGCTCTTCTAGCCTACCAATGAAGCCGATCACTGGAACATCCCTGTCACAAGGTAACCCCACTTCTGCTTGAAGAGCTTCCTTCAATAATGGCTTTGCATCCATTACCTGCAATGGCATTTATTATAAGACATGTCTTCTAATAAAACAAACAACTGAGAAATTGGAAGTTATAAAAAGCACTTACAGTTGTTTCATCATATTTGACACTGATGTATTTGTCAGTGGCAGGATTCCATTCTTGAACATCCATGCCATTCACAATGCCAGTGATGCATGTTTTACGAATGATGTTATCAAGTTCAACACCTTTGTCTGCACCAGAAACAAGCTCCTGGGCATAGTATGGGCTTACAGTCAAGACTCTGTCTGATTCTATAATTCCAGCCTTCATCCAATTAATTTTCCTTCCCTTGACAGGCTTGTTATACCTGTCAATCAAAACCTTTTAAGTCCTTGGCTAAAGAAAATAATTCACCAAAATAATATTAAGCAAAGTTCCTAATTATGGCAAAAATATCAAATATTGTTTCATACCCATCTATGAAGTCAAATGAACTCTTGAACCGATCAGGCAAATTGAGAAGTGAGAAATCTGCAAACGAAAATCTTCCCTGATAGGCTATGTTGTGGATGCAAAAGGCAACCTGCAATATTTATCAAGCACACTGTAAGCTTTAAGTTTTAAGCTTCTGCAGGTCTGAATTAGTCAGATCATATTTACTTCAACAAGAGGCCATCATACCTTGGCATTCATGTAGATGCCCCTAGATTGGTACATGCTTTTCAAATAGCATGGAACAAGAGCAGTGTGCCAATCATTGGCAATGAAGACAACATCTTCCCCTGCAGAAAACGGTTATGCACATCAGCCTAAATCATTTCACGACAAAAGGGTTAACTTTCAAGGTTAAGACTGAAGTGGAAAAGTTCATACCATATGGTCCTGAGAAATATTTGTTGCTATTTAAATTCAAAACTCTGGGTGCCTCCAGAGCAGCCTGCAAATGAAAAAATTATACTAATTTAACTTGACTGGCTAAGTGACGACATAAAAGGTGCAACTTTGAGTTTGGTCAACCAGTAGCCCACACCATCAGTAAGATGGAACTACCATGAAATATTGTGTACCGTTTTTCACAATTTACAAACCCAAGTAAAGTTTCAGTTACCATAATCTTGTCTAACAAGCAGCAGTACAGTTTCTAGAGCAGGACTAAGTTTCCTTTAGTTCACACACTAAAACATCTAATACTAGCTACTCTTTGGAAGTTCTACACAAGAACACCAGCCAAAAGTTTATCAGCTTGTTTCTGATTAGACAGCAAAAACCAAAGGTTTAACTGACAGCCTAGGTGTTTAAACTGTATGTGATAAACTATCCAACTTTTTACGCACCCGAGCATTTGTCTTGCTGGTTAGTGCATAATCCCCCTGCCTCAAGAGCAGATTCGAATCTCCCTTCCCCCAATTTTATAAAAAAAAAAAAAACCAACTTTTTACAATTGTTGCAGCTACAGGGGAATTCTGTTTTGTCGTACCAGTATCACCTAACCTTGTACACAAGCCAGCTTCGCAGCTTTCAATTTTATCTATTGAGAGGTTACAATTACATCACCAAATTCTTTGAAAAAATCAGCTTGCCTTATTTTCATGATATGATTACAATTTGAAAGGGACGAATCATATTCAAATCCTTTTACCTGGCAAAACAAGCTAAATCGCAATTGATTGTCCTTGTAGTCTAAACCTGCCCGAGGGCCATAGATTTTGGATCCCGTTTTGCCCCATACCTGAATCATAAGAACAGTGAACATAAGAAAACAGAAGAAGAAAAGAAAAGAAAAGAAAAGGGGAAATAAGAACAGAACTAATTGAATCTTTAATACAGAAACATTAAACAAATAAATGATCATTCCAAACCCTCTCAAGAAACATGGGGTGATCAACAAAGACACGATCAACTCCACGTTTGTAGCAGTGGAAGAACCGAACAGTCTCAATTTTGTCCCCGACTTTTAGCTGCATATTAGGAGCTGATCTTTAAGAATACAATCCAAACATAACTTACTTCAATGGAATTTGAAGTACCAAATAAACAGAATACGATTTCTCTTGAATTTAACAGGATCAGAAACCGTACCTTAACTAATACAGAGGTGTCCCATGCATCCTTGTACTGATCATAGCGAGGAGACACTGTCATAACACGGTGTCCTCTGGCCTGCTCTATGTTAAGCGATAGGGCTTAGTGTCAAATATACTTCACTAGCAAAATTAAGCAGCAAAATATACCGTACTTGTTTTCAGAATTTTTTTTTTAAAAAAAAGGCTCTGATTCATTGCACTGTTACTCATAAAACTCTACTTACAGCCAGTGCTGGAGGAAGTCCACCAACGACATCACCGAGTCCACCAGTTTTGCTCCATGGAGCAACCTCAGCTCCCACACAGACCACGTTCATCCCTGTTCCGCAAATAATTTTCCCGGAAGGCTTGTCATTTGCAGTGGAGTGTCCCACTTTCACAGCTTGCCTGGAAACAGCCTTTGCATGGGTTCTCATCTGCAACCTATCTACCTGGTTCAAAGACCTCAAACCATTGTGAGTCATGGTTTGATTCGTCATGCCGATCTGTGCCAGATTGGCCTTTGTTTCATGGCTGTTGACAAGTGAACTTCTTGAAACAAAGTGTGAGGCTGTCACTGTTGCCATTGCTCGGATACTTTCAATCAGTGAGAAAGCTGAGACCAGAAAGAAGAAGGAGAAGGAGATAAACAACTTAACCCAAGTCCAAAAATCATTTAATTTAAAAAAAGAAGCAAACTTTTTTTATTTTTATGTATATTTGAAAACTAACAACAGCTCGAAAATGTCTCAAATTTGGCGCGTACCACCATCAAAGAAACAGAAACCTACGCAACAGATTCAGCGAATCTCTCAAAATCAGTTAGGAAATCCATGCATAGAAAACTAGGTCGCTCACCAGTTCAAGGCTTACAAATCCCTTCTGACTTGTACGTTGTTGAGTTCAGTTCTGAGTACCTGGGAGTTGGAAGTGGTCACTTAATGTCCATGGAGGATCGGCCAAATTGTACTGATTCCATTGCTGACCGTGCCACAACACGTGGAGTTACGAGAACGGTTAAGTGTCCTTCCACCGCTTAAGCTCCTAAGATCTGCTTCCCAAGTGTAAAGTGGGACCTCTAGCATGAGTAGGACTATGCTGGAAATTAGCGGTCATTCTTCACTCTACACATGTGAGCTTATAAAAGATATTTCTTTTTCTTATTTAATTTGTTCACGTTGAACAGAGGAATGGCTCCAAGTGGGGCAAAACGACACCGGAGAGTGTAATCTTGTGGTTCAGGGTCCACAATCGGTGGTGTCCAACAAATGTCTGTTTCTCCCTCAGAGACCTGAGTGTTGCTTTCCCAGAGATTTCATAATTTAGTACTTGAAATTAATTTTTTAATAAACTAATTAACTGACGGCATAGAAGCCACGGAACGCTGTATTCTGCTGTGCTTGTTTTGCAATGGAGCAGGTTGGCTACTTGCTTTTCCGCTTTTGCTTTTAGTAAGTGGTAGAAGTCCCCAAGTTTTTCAATCACGATGATCACCAGCAAATGCATGTGAGGTGGAAGATATTTTCTTCCCAGGAGAACTCTTGGCCTCTCCCCGTGAGGGGTTGGAAATTACAATGTTCTTAGCTTTTTGGGTTTCCACCTGCCACTCAATTTGTGGACACGATTTGATTAACTTACTTAAAGTTCTGATCAAGTTGCCAAGGTAAATGCCGGCACGATTTTCGCCTTCAAGAATGAATGTCATAACCCATTATGACGCTTAAATTATGACCATGAAATAAATAATGGAATTCAGTGCAAGTGTAAAAAAAATATATTTATCGAGGTAAATTCTTAATCTTAAAACATTATTAATTGAATAAGGAAATTTAAATTTTATTTTTTTTAAAAAATAAATTAATTAATAAATCAAATGTTCAGTTATAATTTTAAAATATTATTGTTGATTTAAATTATGAGATGTTTGCACAAAGACCAAATTTCTGTTCTTGCTAAAAAACAAGATTTTTCAATCGGTAACAAATTTTTGCATCTTTCAATGAGGAAATTACAGCTGCAATGCCAGTCAAGTTCAAGAAAATGATTCATATTACGCCTCTGACTCACATGGTCGTTACAATAATTCACGAGATCAACTTTACTTTTAGAGTCACACATTTCTTTTCTACTTTTCTCCATACATTATTTCTGAACCAACACCTTCTGCCCAGGATTTGTTTGTTCAAGGGAAAAAGGAAAGGCGTGCCTGGATCTCTAGCGTGTCGCAAAGGGGGTGGGGGGGTAAGCTTTTGCTCTCACAAAAATGGAACTCGACGCCACTCGAGGGCCTCGCGCGGGCCACCTATGGAAACAGCATCTTCATGTAAGGCTAAAATGTTACCATTACGTTAAGAAAGCTACAACCAAACTTCCTTCTTATGCTCTCAGAAAAAAAATAATAATAAAGAAGTGGAAACCTAAGCTTGGAAGATTTTAACACGTCAAAGTCATCTAGTTTATCGGACCACAACTTGATATTATGAAAAGAGTGGTGACCTTTGAAATGTGATCATGGCCATTGAAATTGAACCATGTGAGCAAAATTATTGACAAAATGGCCATTCAAATGAGATTGTAGACAATTGCAATATCAGCATTATCACATCGTTAGTTTTAACAACTGGAGAATGTACGTTTTACCTACCAAAAAAATCTAATGGTTTTACATTTCCATCTAAGGCCAATGGGCTTTACCTAACGAATACATTCCTTCCCATCTAACCAAAGATCAACCAGCCTATGGCTTATACTCGCCACGAAGCAAGTGTGCCCTAATGTTTTGTGCCTTTGCATGAAATAAAACGTAACAAAAAGCTTGAAGTTATGTACTAGGGTGTGCCAACCATTCAAACAGGCTGCGCCAAACGAGTATATTCCCCTTGTCATATCGGCATATCCCTCGTGCTTCATGATCTTTCTCTGTTCTTGTCTTACTCTTCGTCTTTCCTTGACAATGACTAACACAAACTAATAAATTAAACATAATTGTCGCTTAAAACTTACATGCCAGTGGCCGAATCAAACAAGATATATAAAGCTGGTGACTTGTCCATAGTTCAAACTCGTAGAAATTAAAGGAAAAAATTCTCTCCATTATTAAAAAAAATAGTGAAATATTCACTACTTTTATCATACATTACACATGTTTTTTTCAAACAATTTTAAGGTCAAAATTTGTTCACATCGTTTTCTCATTTTAAATTAGTTTTTATTTACATTCTTATTCAATTTAAAGCCATTGAAATTTCAACCATAAATCAATTTCAGTATGCATTAACCATCCTGTAATATGCATTAATCATTTTAAAATGAAGTAGTGAATCTTCATTACTTATTACAGTGCGCGGATCTTCCCCTAGATTAAACTGGTTGTTCCTGGCAAAACATTTTTTTGCTTAAAAATGGAAACACAGAAGAATTATAGATCATTTGATTAAGCTTCTTTTTTTTTTTTTTTTTGCTTTATATCTCATCAATTTCAAATTTCTCCCAGAAATTAGAACGGGAAACCTTAAGAATGGGTTTTGATTAATAATTGATAAAATAGTAATTAACTTATTTTTTTGTTGTAACTCTTTTTAAGTTTCTTGTACTTGACAGACGACAGAAACACACACGCGACGCCTTATAACAAGGAAAGCTATGCAAAGGGCACTGCACCCGTGACCTGTAAAGATTCCTTCTCCGTGCGGATTCCTTGAAGATACAATTACGATACTTGGCAAATTGTTATTATAAAATTCAAAATTTCCTCTAAAAGAAGTTAACCGAGGCAGAAAGTTAAAGCGCTCAGAAATTAGAGTTTTTCTAATTTCACCATCAAAATCAATCGACAGACATAGCAAGGGTACGAAAAATAACTGGGAATTATAAAACAAAACCCAAAAAAGAAAAGGCACTCTATAATCTCACATCATATAACAATTAACAACCAATTTTTGGGTTAAAAATGAAACGGGTATAGTTTAGCGCGACCTTTTAAAGACCAAAAACGACGAAGAAAACCACGACAAAAGGACGGCATTTTGTGTTTCTATTTCTCTATCTGTGAGCTGTGACCAACGTCTCTATGAACCTCAATCCATCAAATCGTGGCGCGAATTTCTCCTTTTCTGACGCCGTACAGTTCCTCGACGTGCCCTTTTTTAACGTGGAGTTATAGCCCTGATCAATCAATGTACAATGTCAAGAACTAGAGATTGAAAAGGAAACCTTTTCAACCCATAGATTTCAAAATTAAAATCCATTATTTTGGAAAAAGCGGTGAACTTAACAAATTAAAGGCACAATTAATCGTATTGGCAGAAATTAAGAGTTAAGATTAATAAAAAGGAAGGGTAAATAACGAATTAGCAACTTAAGCAGCGAATAAAATGGGGAAATTGGAAAGAAAAGGCAAATCTAGATCCAAAAGCAGGCCACTTAAATAATTATTTTAAGCAGTCAAAATTTTTCATTGAAATATAGCGTGAAAATTAAAAAGAAAAAGCAGTAACTAGACATTGGAAACAGGAATCAGTTAAAAATTACGAAACCAAACATTCACTTAAAATTTGAAATGAGAGGCACCATATAAGCCTTTAAATTTTGAATGCAAAAAAATTTCAACAAAAAAAAAGTACCTGGTCGGAGGAGGTCGGAGAAAAACAAACATCATTGAGTCCAGAGGAGGAGGAAGATGTGAGAGCCACCGTGGAAGCAGCGAGCACAGTCGCAACAAAAGGCCCAGATCCCTTCATTTTCCGAATCCTATCTATTTGTGCGCTTGAAACTCAGATTGAAACTGTTTTCTTTCGAAGCTCGAACCACAAATGGGCGAAACCCGACGAACTTCGCCGGATCCCGACCACCAGCTTTCCTTTTCCTTTTCTCTCGCTTTCGGCAAACTCATTTTATCCTTCCCTCCTGGCTGGAGCTTTTATGTTCTCTGAATTTGCCACAGCTTCCCCGTTTCCTCAATTAACGGAATTTAATTTAACATTTGGGTCCGGTTTTCAAATTAAAAAAATGTGTGTGTAGCTTCTCTGCCACGTCGAGTCCACGCCATCCCCAACTCTCCTTAACCAATAGAAAACTGCCGCGTGCACTTAGGCTGGCCAGCTTGGCATGACGAAAGTGACGGCGGTGGACCCGAACCGTTGAATGATAAGGGATGGTGGCCCCCAACAAAATTGCGGGTTTTCTCAGAATTTCCTTTACTTGATCAATTTAATTATCTAGAAAATGGAAAGATGCGTTAATTGTAGAGAAAGGCACTGGAATCTAGAGCGTAGAGAGGGGCCAGAGAGGCTCGTGTTTTTGAAAAATGGGTGGTGTGGTGTTTGCTTAAGCTCGATGGCGTTCGACTCGGTCTGGCCATGGGCTTTGAAGTTTGAATCTTAGGAAAATAACGCCCTTTTTGAAAGTTTTGAAAGGCGAGCTTATGACCAAGTCACAAGTCACTACGATCAGGCGGAAAATTTTCAATCGATCATTTATGATTTGCAAAAGAAAGCAGCTCGCCAATTCCCATTGTCACGGACGTCGCGGCGTGCGTTGATTCTGCCTGGAATAAGGACCGATGACATGCGATACGTATTGACATTTAGATATATTCTTTGGCCATATGTCTTGTAGGAATTGGGATGGCACTTTCTTAATTAACTCCGCTGAGGCTTCAAGCTTAATATAATTATTTGGTTGGACTAATTTGGTTGCCTTATGTAAGGTGTAATTTTCTTATTTCGTACTTTGTTTTAGTTTCTTTTCATTATGAACCAACGGACAACAAACGCTTTTGAGAATGAAGAATAGTCAATAGTTTACATTATTTTATCATCAACATGACAGATGCTTCGCCATTGCCACGCAACTTTCAAGAACAATGGTGGTTGCCCCAGCTTACTTAGGGCATAGGTAGTTAGGTAATTTTAAAAAAGGCACCTTTTTTGGTTTTGTAAGCTTGAGGTCCATATTTATTATGCTAAATATTTGAATTAGAATCTATATTTTTGCAATTCTTTAAAAAAACATGTTAATTTTACAACGTTAATTAATTAAATAATGAATATGCAACACTTTATGGTCAATTAAAACATTTGGATACTTATTATTTCATGTGGGATTGTTCTAACGAGGCCTTGAGCGCATATATATATAGAATAACACCACAGTTCCGAAATACAGTACTCTGATCATTTAGGAAAGGAAACAACCCCAAAAAAAGGAATCCAAAAAAAAGTAACGTATGGGTTCTAATTGGATTAAGATGAGATTACATGACAAAGATAAACATATCCCAAACTTGTGCTGATTTGTTTTTTTTTTTTTTTTTTTGCACTGGTAGTGGTAGTGCTGCGGTCAAAAAGGAAAATGGCTGCGCTTTAAAGAAATTAAGATTGTGGGAGAATTTGACGGTGTGGAACCAACGAATATAGGCCTTGTCTTGCATTTCTCCTTCTGTTGATTGGATGTTGATGCCACACTCTTTTTATAGTCATGAAGTTATGCACCAGCTAATATAAACAAAAGTTGTGCGCTTTATCTTTGAAAGAAACTTCAAACCTTTTGTTTTTACAAGGACAGATCATTCCCTCCATCTTCAAAATGCTTTCTTTTAGGATCTTAAAAACAAACATGTCTTTGTATGAGTTTTTGTGTAATTAATCACACCTGAGTAGATGTAAAGTGCAGGGGTTGTATGGTTTATCACAGTTCTTTTTGTATGAAGGCAGGGGAGTGGCATATGGTTTTGAAGAGGATGAGTGCTTGGAAGGGTATTGGGGGGTAGGCTTGGGTGTAATGTGGGTGTATATCAACCAATATCCCTCTGTTTTTGCTCCTATTTTGCTCATGTTGTTGATGGAGGAGAAAAATTCTTCCCTTCCATGTTCATGGAAGCACGATGATAATTTCCAAAAAAAGAAAAATGTTTTTTTCCTTTCCCATCTCCAATTGAAAAATATTATAAATTATCACTAAAATAAAGGTAATAACCAAATATGAAACCTTTTAATAAAAATTTGAAAGCATTTTAGAATTTTTTTTGAAATTAAATAAGCCGATAAGATTATGTTTACCATAAGGTGATCTCTTTAAATTTTAAGATGATATATTTACCATGATTAGATTATTGTGTTTGGTAATAATTTAAAATTTTATGTGACAGTGATTTTAAATTATCAAAAAACAATTGTTGTAATGGCTTGTGTGAAAAAACTTTTCTCTTCAAATGTTTTTTTGATATAGTGGAAAATCAATTAGCAAATAATGAGATGTAACTAGCCCAGCTTATCCCTAACTTATTTGCAAAAACATAATGTAAAACACCAGAAAGAGGAGAATTAAATATATGTCGACCTATAAGTAATTCTTCATTATAAGTAACTATTTAATCGACACACTATAAATTACTATTTTTAAATTAATTCAATCAATAAAGCAAACCTACATGACATTGGCCTTTATAAGAATTTAATGTTTTAGAGAATTATTATCCTCATACTCATCAAAATGGGTTCATATCTTATATGCTCTTATAAATTGATGGATTTTTATTTTATAAATTGTTTATTTAATTAAAAATTGAAATTGCTGTTTACTTTATGAATAATGTTATTATTCATAACAAAAATTATTTTGCATATTTTCTATTAGGTGATTTTTTTCCATGTATTACCCAACACAAAGATTTAAGATCACTAATAATTTATAATGTTATACCAAATATGGATTATTAGGTCAACATATGGAAAGAGCTAGCTAATTTTTATTGAGAGAGTCAAAGGTTAAGAAGAATAAAAGTTAAAAATTGTTAAAACTAATATATTGAACTTAACCATTAATAATTAAAAGATTTATAATAGATAATAATTTTATATAACATGTAAATAAAAAAAATAAAAAAAATTATAATAATGCTCTAAGAAAATTTTGTTCAACGATAGCAATATCTTTTTTAATATAAACAACTAAAGTATTTGTAAAAAACTTATCATCCATTTTGTTTCGAAATCTTATATTTTTTAATATAAATGGTTAAAAAATTAATGTAGTCAACATTTAATATTTTTATTTTATTATATTTAAGTTTATAATACTAAATATTAAAATACAATGCATAAAATATAAATAGTAAAATATGATACACAGAATTAATAATTTCTTCTTATACTCAAGATAATTTTGTTTCAACTAAATATAAAATGTAAAGCACATTAAAAACATATACTCAAGATAATTTTTGTATATAATTAGGATTAATAAAAAATAATATATTAGTAAAATTTTAAACAACAATCAATAATGCAATACTAGAACTTATATTTAAGAATTACATATATAATAATTTTTTAATTTTTAAAAATTAAAATTATTAAAAATAAAATTCACATAACAAAAAAAAATAACAAGTAAGAGATATAACTTATATAATATAAAAAAATATGATTGATGATTCGTAAAAATTTAAAAAAAATCTATAAAAACTTAAAATATATGAATAAATAAAATATAATTAAAAAATAACTAATAATATAAATAAAAATTTTATCTCTTTATAATTTCACAATACAATAACAAAAAAAAAAAGAAAAAAGATGGATAGAGAAACTTAAAAAATAAAAAAAGTTAAGAATTTGAGTAAAATTAAGCAGAGTTTGTAAAATTATTTTATTATTTTTAATTATATTAATTATTTAATAAAATATTTTAAAATTTATTAAAAAATATATAGTATATGAAAATTTTTAAAATTTTTCAAAAAATCCATTACAAAGGACGCTCCGCCCTGGGTCACCATGATGATCTTAAAAATGATAGCAGATGCCACATGATATTAGTTATTATATTTGTTGGTAAGTTGCTTTTACTGTTATTTTATGTCTATATAGAAAGGTACAATTAGATTATTACATCAAAATAGAAAATACATAAATAAGATTAAATTAAATGTTATTTAAATTATAAAAGTATGAAGGGGGGCTTCATTTTCATATTGTCCCAATATATCCGTATTACACCGTATTTAAATTTTGAACCTTCTGGAGACAAAGTAAAAAGGAGCTTAAACTTGAAATTTCTTAGTCTCATGTCTGGGTCAACTTTCTTCTTCAACACGTTCACTTGATTAATACTATTTTCTTATCTTGCAAGGAAAATGGAAGAAGAGAGCTACGCCGATATGCACGTAGACCTTGGTCCAGAAAAAAGGGTTTGTCAACAAGGGATATCATTAGGAAACTAACAGAAAAGTTCCATTATATTACTAAAGAAAAACAGGAACATGTTGCCCTATGAAATAACTTATAATTGACAACTTTGTTTACAGTATTATATAATAAAATTATAATATTTTATAATCAGACTCAAATGGAGATTGGGTAGTAAAATTTTTTATCTTTAATAAACTTGGATTAGATTAATGATTTTTTGAAAGACAAGATTAATAGTTTAAAACTATTTATTATTGGAGCTTGATCATAAATAATAATTTTTAATATTAAAAATATTAATTTCATATTTTAATTTTTTATTTGTAAAGTACTTATAATTAATTTCAGACTTATTAATTCATTAATTGTTTTGATTATGATTTTAAAAATTAATTTATATTATTTAAAATTTCAATTGAATTTGAATAAAATAAAATATATGTGTTATTAAATTTTGAAAAGTTTGGATTCAAAAATTTCAAATTTAACAAATACTTGACCGGTTAAACGCTATTGTTCCATATGCGTAAGTGACCCAAGCCAGCAATAAACAGTGATGAAATATATATATATATATATATATATATATATATATATATATATATATATTAAAAAGAGTTCGAGCAGAAAAGGGTAACTTCACATGATCGAGTAATGCGTTATCTACGAGGTGTGAAATCAGAAATGAAAGTCATTCAAACATTCAAACATCGGAAATATTGTAAATCGCAATGGTGGGTTCCATATGAGCTACGTCATTCACTTA